TTGTTTCTTTCTGTGTGCCTATATACAACACACTAACCCAGAATTATAATCGTAATTTATAACATGTAATTATATGAATTAACTAGATTTTAGTCAACCAAATTAATATTATTATATTTTACAAACCGCCCAGTTTACTAAATTTACCAATTAAAAATAAACGGTAGACGGTGCAAAGAAGGTGTGTGCGACTTGCAAGACTCGCGCCTTCACGGGTACTAAAATGAAAAAGAAAAAAAGTCTACCCTTTCAGAAAAGTTGACTACTTCAAATTGGGGACGTGGAATAAAGCTCTTGCAAGATTCGCCCCTTCACGGGTAATATAATACGGACCGTACCTTCGGCTCCCTTCTCATAGATCTTTTTAGACGACAAAAAAAAGGACAGAACTTTTAGACCATATGCATCAATGAACCCCCATGGGATTTATAAGTATTTTTTAATGATTTATGATGGGATCATAAAAAGTGATGAACTCGGGTCATTCAAAGTATATAAAAAGTAGGCATGGGCGTTCGGGTACCCGTTGGCGTTCAGATCGGGTTTTTCGGATTTTCGGGTTTTCGGGTTTACACTTATAGGTCCCATTTTAATATTTTACTAGTACGGGTCGAGTTCGGATAATAACACTTCGGGTTCGGTTCAAATTTGTATTGCAGCATAAAACCCGTAAAGTAACCATATATCGTTCGGATTCGGGTTATTTTGGTTCGGTTCGGATATACCCGAAGTATAAAACAAAATTTCGAAACAAAAACATAAAGAAAAACACTGAAACTGAATATAAATTAATCATACATACATAAAATTGATTTAAATAAAAAAAATGCTAAATCAGTCATTAAAACATACATCACTTGTAAACAATGTTCATTATCTTACATATAAACTAAATTTATTATTTTAATGAAAAAATTATAAAGTACTTTATAACTAATTATATATTTAAGGTATTTATTTATATTTTAATATTTATTGTAGGTATCATATCAAAATAAACATTAAATTGAATATCTAAAATATTTATATATATATATTTAAAATATTTATATTAACTATTAATTTCGGATATTTCGGGTTATCCGTTCGGGTTCGGTTAAATAACACTTCGGGTTCGGATTTTTTTATACCATCCTATAAGACCCGTTCGGGTATTTTTACATTTCGGGGCGGATAACGGGTCGGGTTTTTCGGTTCGGGTTCGGTTCGGATTTCGGGTTTCGGATTTTATGCCCAGGCCTAATTTAAAGTATGTTTTGCTTTAATGAGAGAGAACCATTAAAGACTAACTAGCTACCAAATTTAATTTCTCATCTACCGGTTCAGTACAACAAGCATTCAAGACACATCAAATCGATAACCTATAAACACAACATTCATCATAGCAACCAACCCAACCCACGTGGTTTAAATTTAAAGTTTAGTTTACTTTATCTTACCAACTAGAGGACTAGTTGGGTTTACTTAACTTTAACTTAAGATAATAATAACTATCTAGTTCAGTTCAGTTTACTTCAAGCAAAGACATTCAAGCAATTAAATTGAAACCATTTTTAAAAATCTTAACTTACCATCAGGTTAATCAAAGCACATCCTCTCCAAATCTGCCAGCCTCACAGTGAGATATTCAACTTGTCCAGAAAGGGTCTTAACCTGTTCCTGGACATTCACATACAACAAAATATGTGATTATAAAATTTTGCTCTTTATAAAACAAGCAACTATAATAATTTGCTTATTAAGTTCTAGCTCTTACCTCCAAAAACTCAATCTGTTTGGTGATAGTGGAGACGCCCTTGATCACCTCCTCAGCCTCCTGCACCCGCTTACTCATCTTCTCGAACTCCTCTTGGACAGCAACAACCCACGGCTGGCGATAATGTAAACCATTATCCTAGTTTACAACATAAAAACAAAACCAGTTAAACCATTATTTGTATAAAATCTTAACTAAAAAATATGGACATTACCTCGTAATTTAGACAAGTAAAGAACCGCTTCCCAGGAACAGTATCATACTCTTCCTCTCCCCGGACCTCGTTGATGATTCTTCCACCGCATGAACATCTTGTAGGAATCCCGTATTCGGAATCAACCACGAATCCTACCATTCTGCCTCTTTGTGTCTCTTCTCTCTTCTTGAGGATCCATCTGCAAAAAGACAATTGTCAAAATCAGAACCCTAAGTCGAAACACTAACTCGATCACAAACCCTATGTCTAAACGCATCCAAATCGAACCCGCATACGATTTACAAACACTATACGAAATCCACATGTCATTTATACAACCCTAGCCCAAAATCTCCAAATCGATTTAGAACCCTAAAATAGAAAACCCTAACTCGATTACGAATCACGCAAAACGAATCAGAAATCGAACCACCAACTTGATTTACAACCACTAAACGAAACCCCCTTCTCGATTAAACAACCGTTGATCAAAAACCCCAAATCAATTTTCTTCCCCGACAACGCCATCAAACCAAAACAACCGTGTTTAAACATGCTTCGACAAGAATCTTACCTGAGGTGGTTGAGGAGAAAGTTCGCCTTCGATTATATGGATTTGGCCGTCGATTAGATGGATTTCGCCGTCGCTATCGTAATCGCCTCTGGAACCCTAGCTTTCGAGAGAGAGACGAAAATGAGACAGAAATCAAAAAGACCCTCTTTCCTCGACTTGAACCCGTCTTCGAGAGGTCGAATGGGAGAGTGACGCGTGTCTTGAACCCGTATCATACGAGTTCACTCGCGTGAAACGGATCATGAAAATAACCCAATTTTTTAATATATTTTCGCCTCTCGGCCCGGTGAACCTCGGTCCATGATCCGCATGTGATCCCTTAATGCACATGGTCTTATAATCTTTAGTGTGTCTCGTACATATATTTAAGAGAATTTATTGCATAATAGACAAATTCTTATAACAATATATTCTCACCGTTTTATATTAAGTGTGTTGTAGAAATTTTTTTGATGTTAAAAAATAAATGAACGGTTTTAATAAAAAATTTATTAACTTTATTATATAATTATTTTTCCACTGGTTAAAATTGGGTTAGATATATAAATACTTGTATTTTTATATAAAAAATATGTAAAATTAATTATTTCATTAATCTGTATGCACAATTATAAAATAACACTTATAGTAAAACATATTGAATATGTATTATAATGTCTAAAAATGGATGACAAAGCTATATCACATAATCGTCTTAAACAAATCATTTAAATGTTTGTGTCCAGCACGCTTCTATGTCATTTTTAACATTTGGTTTATCATTATATAATAACTGTTTCCATTATAAATAATAATAAATTATCTACAAGTGAAATTGATAAAATAATTTCATGGACTATTTCACAATAAAACTTTCTCTGTAATACTCGGATAGACAGACAGTTTTCCATGTACGATTATATATATATATATATTGCAGTACCTAAATTCATAGGTGAGTTTATTAAATAGATATTATCTAGGTTGAATCTTATCCTTGAAAATAATTATCAATAGAGAAATCATTTTTAATATTCTATTTTTCTGAACTAAATTGATGCATTTTATGAATAAATGTAATAATCTACAAGTAAAAACTAACATATTCACTGTCATAAAAATACACTTTTAGTCACCTATATCATAAGAAAAGCTTGTTATTTTATTAATACAATATCATAAGAAAATGGTTTCAGATTTAAAACTAAATATAAAAATTAGCAGTCAAAAATTCTTAGATAGATGTAAACATTCAAAGAACCAAAATAAGATAGCGAGGCATCACATAATGTAAGGAAATATCGTTTGTCGTCTATCTGTAGAATTATCAATTTGATTTACATAGTCTATATGAGTGTGTTTAAGATGATGATTAAAAAAAATAGCGAAATACAAAAAAAATATAGAAAGAGAAATTTCATATTTTCAACTCGCTCTAATATATGTTTGGTCTATTTTATAGTGTATAAAAAATTTGGGCAGTAATCGACTGAAGAACAATTCTATGAAAATTTAGATCTAACGCGAATAATACCATACTGTGTGAGGAGTTGAATATGTGATGGTGGACATCTAGCTCTAGTTGAACGCATGACCCCATCACAGACAGTTGATCTAATGTTAGTAGAGCATCTGGTCTGTGATGACATCTAACCCATCACAACAAATTGACATCAAAGGCAAAATTATATGATTATTAGTTCGACAGGAAGATTGTTAGGATAAATAAGTAGTCCAAATTTCACGTAGGATATTAGAACAAAAAAATCTAATATATATATTGGGTCTAACTCTACTAATTAGTATGAAGTATATTAGGGAGTAATCGTCCAAATACAAATCCTAAGGACTTAAACTCAAAACGAACAATAATATAATTTAACATCTGGTGAAGAACATCTAGATCTAGTTGAACGTCTGATCCCCCCCCCCCCCCCCCCCCCC